ACCTAACACGACAGCCTCCTCCTTGCCGTGGTGCTCCTCTTTGCCCTGGCCCAGCAGGCAGTCAATGATGGTCTGCAGGAGGTTGCAGACAGCCAGGGAGATTTCCTCGTTGTCTACCGACATCCACATACAAATGCTGTCAATGCCCAGGTAATGGAGAATGGCAGTGGCCTGGAGAGAGCAGGACAGTGTTAGCAAAGGCCTTTCCTTCCTGTGTGCTTCAGAAGGGTCTGGCTCAGCTGGGACAAAGAATCTATTTTCCTCAGTGATTCCTGAGTCAGTGCAAGGCAGAGTTTTAATTTTTCCCCACTGTTCACAGATGTACTGCAATTTCCCACTCCCCCAGGTGCAAGGCAATAGCAGCAAAGGTCCCAAGCATCCTGTTCTTACCCGAGCCTTATGTCCTGTGCACATTCCCGAAAGTGTCCTCACGGCTGCCAGGATCAGCTCAGGATTTTTGGTTTCTATCAGCTGCAGCAGCAAGTTGACCCCATTATTCTGGAAAATCCTCTCGGCACCTGCTTCCTCTCGCCCCAGGACTATGAGGTTGTTTGCAGCCTGGGTGGGAGACAGAAGAACCAGGGGTCAGTGGCACAGCCAGGCCTCCAGAACACCTCCAGGCAGCTCTGGGAGGTGGGAGCTGTGGACTGGCCATCTCCTGACAGATGCAGCAGACCAGCTCAGATGGTTTATCCAGGTGCATTTGGGATCCCTTCACTCTGCCCAAGAAGAGTGGATCACTGCTTGGAGTGGAACATTTTTTTTGGGGAGGTTTGGCCACCTTCCCTCGGCATAGGGATGGTGCCTCATTGGGACCTTTCCCCTCTCAGCTGTCCCTCTGAGGACAGTTCATTTCCCATCTCCTTCCCTCGTCCTCCATCCAGGGGAGGTGGGGAAAGGAACTCTGTCCTGCCCCTTGGTGCAGCCTCTGACATTAAACAGCCCTTTTGCCAAGTGCAGAGCAGTTCTCACCTTTTCTCGCTTTTCTTTCTCGCTGTTCTCATCCAGCAGGATTTCAAACATCTTCTGCACCCTCGAGTCCGTGGAGAACTGAATGCGCAGCTGTGCCAAGGGAGAGAGGGCATTGAGCATCACAGGGAGAAAAATCAAGGAGTGGTTTTCCTTTCTACTTCAAGGACACCCCAGACCCTCAAACCACAGACAATTTAAGCTGAATAACAAAATAACTTCTCAGCTATCAGCATCCGTTACCCACCTCAGATCCATGGGCATGGACAGAGACAGCCCTAAATTATTATTTGCGAGACCTAGTGGTTCAAGGGCTTCTTCACAGCAGCCCTGTAAAGGTAACTGTGTCAATGTGGCAACTGCCAGACCCATTCCAAAGCTGGCCCAGTTCCATGCCAAGACCCTTTCAAGACACTCAGGAGCAGGCCAGCCTCTGGAGGGAGCTGCCACACTTTTTAATTCAACCATTCAACCCAATCCTCAGATTTACACACATCAGGAATGAACTTCCAGTTAATGGAGCCTATTTATCCCCCTACAAGTTTCCAGTATGACCAACAATCCCAGAGCAAGGACTTCCCACATCTGGACTGCTCCTCCAGCATTTACCTTCTCCTGGATGTTGGCCCCCAGCCGTCTCAGGGTCTCCTGGAAGTTCTTGTTGCGGGGTTCAATGGTTGCACATTTCTGAGCATCTTTGAACGCTTGGTCCAACTTCCCCAGCTTTTCCAGAGCTTGGCTGCGCCGGTACAAGGCTTTGATATCCGAAGCGTTGATGTCGATAGCTGGGAAAGGGATCCAAAACACCAGGCATCAGAGTTTGCTGCTTGGGTAAGTTTGCTGCCCGTGTAAACTGGGATTTGCTTTGTCATTAACATCGTGCATGAGTCGGTGCCTGATTAGCGCTGATTGCACCATCCCACAGAATTGGTACGTTGCCTTTTGAACCTCCAGTAATTCCCTTGTGGCCTCAGCACTTGGGTGTTACTGGACATCAAGGGATAAGGCCACAGTGTCCCAAAGGCAGATGTGAGAGCAGGCTGAGCACATGTACCCAGCAATACAGCTCTCCTCTCTCAGAACAGTCCCCTCCTCACCTCGAGACGCATCCGAGGCTGCCTTGGCATATTCCTCCTGTTAAACCAGAAAGGAGAGAGTTGTTAGGCATGGAATAGCAGGGCATGTCCCCATTCCTGATGGACACCGACCCCTCTGTTCCCACTTCCTTAGAGGATATCCCAGTGAAGCCAGCAGCAGCCTGTGGAAGGGAAGGGAAGCTGAGGTACCTTTGCATCACTGATGGAAGGGAAGGGGTGTGTGGTGCAGGTGAAACAACACACCCTGCTGAGGATGCAGCAGGACAATGGGCAGTGAAGGAAGAGGGAATATTCACAACAGCCTTGGTCTGTGTTGGTGTCACTTCTGGATTAGTGAAAATTCAGGAACATGCAAGCAATCTGCTAAATTCTCACAACAGGCCACTACAAGCTGAGACAAATTCGGTACAGATACCAATAACTTTTTGTTTTACTAAATATCTTCCCCTGCTTTCCTTCTGCTGGGACAGACAGCAAGAGTGATCCCAAGCTGTGGCTTACAGAGCTCTTTGGTAAGTGTGGAGCAGCCTGGCTGCCAAAAGCTTTTGCTTCAAAGTGATTAAGTGGGACCGTCTCTGAGCTGAACCTGCATGCTCAGCCCCATCAGGATGGAAGCGAGGAGGCAGCTTTACAGCTCCAGCACAAGCCCAGAACATATCATTTCAGACCAGTTTGCAAACACCCTATTCAATAAATAGACAAACCACACAGTGCATAACTCGTGAGCCTCCCTGCTCTTCTCCCCTTGAGCACTGCCCAGGAGAACTGGGAGCTTTTCTCACCTTTTTGAGGAAGCAGGCTGCCCTGTTCCTGTACAGCACCGCCTGCAGCGCCTTGTCCTTGTTGAGCTTTAAGGCTTGAGTGTAGCTTTGAAGAGCTTTCTCGTAGTCATTGGCCTGAAAATATTTATTGCCCTCCTCCTTCAGCTGGATGGGATCCTCCATCTGGAGAGCTCTAAGGAGAAACATGAATTTGGGTCCCATTTTCAACTGCCTGTGTCACCCGAGGTCGCCTGCCTACTGCCCCAAGCTGAGTTGCACCACGAGACTGACACATAATTAACACACACATTAATAAAAGCAGCTTACCAGACCGAAGAGTTTTGAAAATTAAGACCTAAATTGCTCCTCCAGGCTGTGACTTCTCAGAAGCTTTTCCCACTGCTGTAGGTCCTTGGGAGTCAATTAATACAGGAAAGGAAAGCAACAACAAGAAAAAGAATTGAAGAAGTCTGCCAGCACTACGGAGAGTCCGTGGGGCTCAGGAAAGAACTCGCTTCCCACTCCAAGTTTGGGCAGGACCTGGCAGCTCCTGCTGTCTGTCAGCATCACCTGTCACCACAGCCTGTCCCCTCCTTGTCCCCCTGTGCTATATATGCCTGGGGAGGGCTGGGAGCCAGGGCCAGCTCGGGGGGGCACCTGCCTGCACGTGGGCAGCACTCTCTGCAGCAAGAGGGGATCCTCTCCCACCTGCCGGGGCAAATCCCAGCTTCCCTCTGCCTGCAGAGCCCCACAGGGTGTGGGGGGCAGGAACAGGGGGGTTTCATGCTGAAAAAGCCCCCAGCTGGGATGGCTGACCCCCGTCACAGTGCTCAGACCCTTTTCCCTTTCTATTTAGGGAAGCATGAGACAGCTGAGTCTTGGGGACAAGCGGCCCCACGCCAGCAGCTGCAGCAGCGCCCAGCACCTTCCAGAACTCCCTGGGATGGAAAGCTGACTGACACCCAGTGCTGCCTGCTCCTTCTCACAGGGCCTTTGGCAGCCCATCCCACTGGAAAGCTCACCCGCTGCCACCTCCCCTTTTTCAGCAGCCCACTGACACAGGCTGGAACACACACTGTACTGGAACATACTGGCCCACTGCTGTGATGAGTGGCTCAGGACTCAGTTTGAGTGACACCAGTAGACAGAGCTCCAAAAAGAGCTGAGCCTTTCAACACACCCCGTTTCCCAGGGGTCACAATCAGGAATTCTGCTTTGGGATTTATCTCCCTGAAAACACAGGCCTTGCCTTCCCAAGTGTCCCACCAGCATCCCAGCTGTAAAGCAAATAGGGAAACTGGCAGAAGGATGGGGAGAGCATGGGCTGATCAGAGATCCTGCCAAGAGGGAAAATATCATTGTCTTTAATTCTGTGATCTGTGCTGTGGTTTGTGGATCTTACACAGCAAGAATTGGCACAAGACTGCCCTGCCAGGTCTCCTATTTTATTCACCTGGCACCAGGGACACTGCTTGGTATCCAGGCAGAAGGCAATTCCAAAGTAATTTGGAAATCCCTTCACAGCATCAATCATCTGCAGTGCAGCTGCAGGCACTGCATCAAGGGCAGCTCACACACTATAACCTCTTTAGGGGTATGTCCAAGGCACAAGGACAGCAGCTGTGGAAGGTGCAAGAGGTCCTCCCTGCCTTGGATAGACTCAGTGCAGTGGATTTTCTAGGATCCACATGGATCAACACACCAGAAACCCACTCCCATGTGACTTTAGGTACCAGGGAAGGCTCGTCTGGCTTCATTTCAGTACTCCTGGGATCCAGCACAGCCTTTCTCACGTCAGCCAGAATGATAGTTCATTGTCAGAAGCAGCAGCACAGCAGGTAGTGCAGGTAAACTGAGTTACAAAATCAAGAGCTGTTTGATGCCGCTCATGCTCAGGGCAGAGCTGAGAGCGCAGGGTGAGCAGGGCAGGCTCAGCAGTGAGTGCCGGGGGCCCTCTTCAGGCCTCGGCTGGGAAAGAAAGAATAATAATCAATAATAATTAAAAGGAAAAAAAAAAAAAAAAAAAAAAAAGGCTTTTCCAGGAGAAATTCCAGCCCCGGGCAGCCAGGGAAGGGCACACGGCTCCGCACACCTGCAGGGCTGTGAACACCCCCAGCCCTCCGTGCACCTTCATTTTCCACCCCGCAGCCCCCACTGACGAGCCTGGCCAGACCCAGTCCTGGGGAAACCACGGAATCCCGGGATGATCTGCCTGGCTGCGGTGCCCCGGGCTCTGCTGAGCCAGGCGGAGGGGCCGGGGAGGGAACCCCGGCGGGGTTCGGGAGCGCTGGGAGCGGGCACAGGAGCCATCCCGGCCCTTCCGCTGGCGGCAGGAAGCAGGAAGGGAGCGGGCAGGGCCGGGTACCCGCGCAGGGATGGAGGGTGGGCTGGGACACTCATCCAGGAGCTCTTGGACAGGGATGGGGATGGGGATGGGGAGGATACCCCCGTCCGGGGATGGGGCTCCCCCCGCCCGCCGAGCCGTCCCCGAGCAGGAGCCGCTGGCTCAGCCGCGGCGATGCTCCCGTGCGAGATTTGGGGATGCTGGACCCTAAAAGGACCCTAAACACCCCCCGTAACCACCCGTCCCTGACACAGCCTGCCCGGCTTCTCCCCAGCTCCAGGGGCAGGCACGGGCCAGGGCAGGACATGGCTCAGTCAGTGTTGGACTTGGTGATCTTAGATGTCTTTTCCAACCTTAATGATCCCACTCTGCTCCGCAGGTCTCTCCCGCCCCCGTGGCTGTGGACATGGTGGTCCTGCGGGCTGGGCTCTGCCCTGGTCTTACCGAAGAGATGATCCAGCTGCTCAGGGCCAATGGCATCAGGACGGGTAATGGGGTGGCATCGGGGTCTCGGGTTGGGGAACATCATCCCCTGCACATTTGGTGTGCCCACATCATCCCACGTCCTGGAAGGGTGGTGTTGGTGGAATATCCCTCCATGTCCTCCTTGCTGGATGTCTTCTGCATCCCCCTGGGTGGGTATAACGATCCAGGACTTCTCCATAGGAGCATGGGAGTCTAAGGACATGGTTAAGATCCCTGCAGAGGCTTTTTGAAGGTTGATCAATTATGGCTTTTCTAAGGTATTTTGGGAGGATTTGTGCAGTTTTCCCTCTGACAAAAGCCCAAGTTCCTCCCACACTGCACCCTGGGCACCTCCTGCCCTTGGAGGGGAAGGAAAAGGTGGTACTGGCCAGCTCTTGAGCAAAACAAGGAGAATTTTTAGCAGCAAATCTCCCTGATCTGTTTTGCAAGAAACAATTTGTTTTGTGATGGGTGATGGGGCCATCTCAGAGAAAAAACTCAAATGTGGGATATCCTGCTCCTCCACTTGCAGTGTTGGCAGAGGGCACAGACACTTCCAGTGTTCTTGGTCTGACCAGGTTTGGCTTCCAACCTCTTGTCCCTCATGTTGTTTGCAGTGGTGGACTTTGTGTCATCAGACCTGGAGGATGTTGCCCAGAAGTGTTCCCTGTCTTACAAGGCGCTGGTCGCAGTGAGACGTGTGCTCCTGGCGCAGTTCTCTGCCTTCCCTGCCAACGGAGCAGACCTGTACGAGGAGCTCAAGAGCTCCACAGCCATCCTGCCCACTGGGAGCCCAAGGTGGGTACATCACCCTTTTCCCCGGGGCTGGGCTTGCTGCACAAGGCCCTGGTTGCCAGCACAGGCTTCGAGGTTCAGTGTGGCGATGCCCTGAGCGGGGTTGGTGGTGTCCACGCCACGTCCAGGGGCTTGTCTGGGTTTGGGAAGGGGACTCTAGGGACAAGTGCCTGGGCACTGCTGCTTCCTGATACCCCTGCTGTTCTGGCTGAAGGGGTGTTGGTAATCCCACCTTGTGCTCCACTCTAGCCTGGACCAGCTGCTGGACTCTGGGCTGTACACGGGGGAAGTGACGGAGCTCATGGGAGCACCGGGCAGTGGGAAGACACAGGTGAGTGGGATGGAGGAGCGGGAAGAGGACAGGTGGGATGAGGATGATGCCTGGCTGATGTGTCCCTGTCCCTCCAGGTGTGCCTGGGCATTGCAGCCAGTGTGTCTCTCAGCCTCAAGCAGCACGTCGTGTTTCTCGACTCCACGGGGGGTTTCACTGCCTCCCGTCTCTACCAGATGCTGCAAGCCCAGACAGAGGATGAGGAAGAGCAGGCAAGTTCCTCTGGAGCTGGCCCCTTTGTTTGCACTAAAACTGCTTGCAGGCAACCCCCAAGGTTTGTCTGTCCAGCTCTGCCTTTGTCCTCATGGTCTTTTTTGGGTCCATGCTCTTCCTCCCATGGCCAATGGGTGCTGTGCTCAGGACAGAAACTGCTCTTTGTTGTTTTCCTTGGGAAAAGGGGAGGACTTGCCATACTCACACACACTTTTGCTCCCTGAGCTCAATCCAGGTTACTTCTTCCATCTGCAGTATGGACAATGGTGTTCATGGGGTGGAGGCAAACGTGGAAGAAAAAGGGCTCTGTGTCATGGTGTGAATGCAAAGAGCTGGTGGCAGCTGGGGCAGAGGGAATATGACAAGTCCTGGAGGGGGTGAGGCCATTGGTGATGCCACTTTGTGCCACAGCTGGAGGCTCTGCAGCGGATCCAGGTGGTCCGTGTGTTCGACGTCTATGAACTGCTGAGCGCCTTGCAGGAGCTGCGGGATCGCCTCTCCCAGCAGGTATGAGGGGGGATCTGGGCCCCTCTCCCCTCCCCAGAGCTGCAGGGAGGGCAGCAAGGTGTGCCTGGCAAGTGACTCCAGATCACCTGGTGCATTTGAGCCTCTGTGCAGCTCACAACCTCCAGAACTGCTGGGTTTGTAACTCCACATGGCACATGGTCCCTCCTTTCAGGTCGTGAGCTCCACGGGGCCTCTCAAGATCGTGGTGATCGACTCGGTGTCAGCTGTGATTTACCCACTGCTGGGTGGCAGGCAGTCAGAGGGTGAGCTGTGCTCTTAGGGTGTGCCAGGAGGCTGCAGAGCTCTCTGCTTGTCCTCAAGAGCATCTTCCTCCCAGGTGTGCTGTGTCTGGAGCTGGGGCTGGGACAGTGTCCTGGTTTGATCTAGTGCTCATGCAAATCTAGATGTCACCTACCTCCAAGATGCACTTTGCGGGTCAGTCCCCAAACACCCGAGTGCTTTGTCCTCCTCCAGGTTTGGCCATCATGATGCAGCTGTCTCGGGAGCTGAAGACACTGGCCAGGGAGTTCAGCCTTGCTGTTGTGGTGAGTGTTGCTGCACTTTGTCCTTTATGTGTTGGTGTGTGCTGTGAGCCATGGAGAGGCTTTGGAGCCCTTGGAAGAGGACACCCCACTCCCAGCTAAGCAGGAGCAAGAGGTTTGTACCCCACATTGCTCTGTGTCTCTGCAGCCCACAGATGTCTTATTTCAGTGAGGTGTGGAGCAAGGCCAGGGCTGGTTTGCTGCCTCCTGCTATTGCTGTGCTCAGCCAACACGGCATTCTCTGCATTGAGCAAGGCAGGGAGATTGAAAGGTTGTTTGTGTTTATTTTTGATACAACACCGTTCATTTAAGGGGCTGGCCAGCCTCCTGGGTAACCTCTTAATTACCTTGGAGGAGCTGCAGGGCATTGCATCATCCTAAGGGAGCTGGGGACTGGAAGGGGCCCTGCTCCAGTTTCCCCAGCTCTTGGCCGAGCAATTGCATTTGCCAATGCAGCCAGACAGGTTACTGGGACCACAATTAACGTGTCTGAACTGGGAAGGCCACAACAGAGAGTGGTGGCCTGCTGAGCCTGGCACTGGAAGGCACCAAGATAGTCCTGCCCTTTGTTCTGATAAAGTGACAAGGAGGTGCCTGGAAGGACACTTGGAGGCTCCAAGTTAAACTCCCTGGGTGGCTTCAGCACCAGGAGTGATGCAGCCTGCAGACACAAGCAAGCTCCTGCCCGAGTGCCTGTCTGGGCCAGCTGTCTGGGCTGTGTTTAGAGGGGATGGCACAGCTGTGCCGAGAAGGAAGGCTCAGACTGGCCGTGATCTCCAGTGTTTCATTCCACCGAGTGCTTTTCCCAGGCACTGATAAGCCTGTTTGTGCTACAGGTGACCAACCAGGTGACAAGGGACAGCAGCACTGGCTCACTGAAGCCAGCCCTTGGCCGCTCCTGGAGTTTCGTGCCCAGCACTCGGGTGCTGCTGGAGAGCAAAGAAGGCGGCGGGGACAAAGGCCCGACACAGCGAGTGGCTGTCCTGGCAAAGTCACCCCGCCAGGTGAGGCTCCCTGGGCTGGGAATGGAGGAGCAGCTGTGGGACTCGGCCCTGACTTTGGAGCAGAGGGTCAGGCAGGATCCAGCCTCGCTGGGTGAGCCATGGCAGTGGGAGAGGAGCTCCTGCAGCCTGCCTGTACACTGTGGGAGAGAGGAGCATCCCAGCAGCCTGAGCTTGTATTTATGGGCATGTTAAATGGGTGGCACCGCTTCCAGTGCAGGTCACCGTGTTCCTCATGCTTGTCTCGCTCTCCTGATGGTGTGTGGGTCCCATGGAAATGGCTCCTACACCTGCAGAGGGGACTTTGGCTTAACTCCTGCCTGTGCCTAAGCCTCCCAGCTCCAAGCCTCCTCTGCTGCCTGATCCAAACAGGTTTGGATGTGGTGGTGTGCTGGGCAGGGAAATCCACCCTGGATTTGCTAAATAATGGTGTGTCTGGGGATGTCTCAGAGCAATATGTTCTTTCTTTGCTAAATTGCATTGTCTATTTGTGTTCAGCAGACCAAGTTAAAATGGGGGCACCAGCAGACAGAAATGCACAGGGACTGGGGATTTCTGGCTCTGGGGCAGGTGATGGAGTGATGTAGAGTCCCAGCAGTGTGAGGTTAAGCTTCTCTCTGTTTCTCCTTGCAGCCAACAGGGTTACAGGTGGAGCTGGACATTGGAAATGGTGATATGCCAGAGCCGAGCCCTGTGACACCCACACAGGGGCTCTGATGTGATGGAAAAGCAAATGTCAAGGTCCAAGAGAGCTGCACAAAAGCAGGCAAGCACACTGAGGGTTTTGCAGACTGACTCTGAGGGTCCTACAGCCGTGGACCAACGGGAAGAACCTCTTGTTCTTCTGCCTTGGGGGAGAAACTGAGCGTGGGGTTCCCCAGAGACCTCCGTGCTCAGCAGGTGCTGCCTGCAGTGGCTGTGCTGTGTGGGCAGCACAACAGCAAGCTCCTGTCCTCTACTGCAGGCTTGTCTTCACCCTGTCCTCAGGTGTTGGCTGGGGACCAGCTGGCTTGTTCCTGCACAAGCCCACAGCTCCCTGTGGTGGGTTTGTTTCCCCCCATGACTCGCTGCCCTCTGGGCCTGGAGCTCTGATTGTCCTTGGGCAGCTCACAGTGGTCTTGGTTCAGAAATAAAAGGAAAAAGCTGTTGCACACTGTGGTCGTTGAGAGCTGGAATTCAATTAGAGGTGACTGCTGAGAACTTAATTAAAATGTGGAGGGTTAGTCCCCAGCAGGACTGGGTTGGGATAGGCTGGAGTGGGACAGACTGGGATGGGAAAGGCTGCTGGTGAGCAGGGACATAATCGAGTGCTTGCTCTGACCTTCTCCCCAGAGTAACACCAGGCCTTGTGGGGAGCTGCTGATGTGTTTGGGGCAGTGCTGTGCTGCATAAAGACTTGCTGATAAGTGATGGAAGTTCTGATCTGGATGAGCTGGGACTGATGAGCTCTGGCTGACACCAGCTGGCCCTGCCTGATGCTCAAGGACCTATTCAGTTGCATGTGGTGATGTTTGAAATAATCTCTCCTTTCTCCAACTGCTCTTGCTTGCTCTGGGCAACGTCCTGGGCACTTGTGTGGTGCTGGGGAGGAGACAGGAGGCTGGGATGTGATCCCAGATGTCTCAGACACCCTCATCCTCTGCATAATAAGAGACCTCCCTAGTAGGTGAGCTGAGACATGGTTGTACTTCAAGGCTGCTGATGTTGAATTTGGGGGCTGGGACTAATGCAAGGCATGTTCATTAAACTAATAACACAGCAGCACAGCTCCTGGAGCCTTCTAGTGCTGCACTGGACAAAGAGGAGTTTGATTTAGCCAGAATTTGGGTGTTAATTTCTCCAGAGTAGGCATTGTGCTCTTGAGCAAATAGCTGCTGTGGGGAAGGGGCAGTTTACAGGGATATGTGAACACACATTTTGGTTTCCCAAGAGGCAGCACCAGGTCTCAGCATGGATTTTTGTTTGAAACATCTGTCAGAGTTGTGTTTTCTGTGAAACTCAGCTCTTGGTGCTCCCAGGGCTGTGGTTTAGGGGGCAGGCCCCACCTCCTCCATCGTGGCCACCCAGCCACTGCAGCTCCGTGTGCGTGGCCGTGGGAAAGGCCACGATCCCAGCAGGTCCTGCTGAGGAGGGGAACGTGCCAAAGCAACATGAGCTGAGCCATTAAATACATAATTTTTACTGAAAACTTTTTTAAAGTTGTGCATTTATTTGTGTTTCTGGGCTTTCCAAGCTCAGGAGGGGAGGTTGGCCCCAGGGATTGCAGCTGCTGGCTGGAGGATGGTTTTTCTGTGCTGATGAGGCTGGTCCTTACAAGCAGAAATTTAGCTTGGTGCATCTCTTGGAGCTGTGAATAAAGAGCTGGTGCATGCAAATTTCAACCAAAACTCTGTGCTACTATTTTATCTCTCTGTCTGTGGTTATTTAGAGGAAGCAAAGCTCTCAGGGTGGGGAGTGCGAAGCAGAGAAGAGCCAAATAGGATTATATTTGAATGAAGAGGGTTTTCTGGATGTTCCTTTCCCCTAACTAGCAGGAGGATGAGAAGAGGAACAACCCACTTTGAACCCTCATCAGGCTCAGCATGAGACCAGCCATGTGCCCAGCATGCATCTTTCCTGTGACCCCTAGGAAATGACAAAAGAAACTCTGCTCTTGCAGTCAGTCACCGGGGAGTCATGGGGTGGTGATTCAACAGGGACATGGTCAGTCTGTCTGGAAAGGTGAGGATGTGAAGTCTGGGCTCCTCCAAAGCTTCCCATCCCGGCTTTCATAGGCACAGTCATGACCAGGGGGGATTTTCTCTCCTTGGCAATCAGCTAATTGCAGCTGTGGGAGCTTTATGCTCTCTTGGGAAACAGCTGGATAGGTGGAGGAGTTGGGGGACAGTGAGTTATGAGGTCTGGCTGAGTTTGATGTGGCAGCTCCTCCTCTCCCTGTGCTGCCGAGGTCACAGGGATGTCCTGAATTTCTGGCTGCGTTGCTGCTGTGGGTGCTGGTTATTGCTTGGTGTGGGGACACCAGAAGGGCTCAGGCTATGGCAATCTATTACCCGATCTGGAATAGCTTGACTTCTTACTCAAGCTCATTTGCCCTAAATTTGCATAGTAATTTTAGGCCAAAAAGAGTTCCTGACCTCAATGTCCTGATTCAGCCTTTCTCCTCCATGCTCAGACGGGCACTTCTGCCACCCTGTAAGGCAGAGCTTGGGATGTCCCCACTTCTTGCCCCTTCCCCTTGCTAAAAACAGCTGGGAAAGCACTGGAAAGGCTTGGAGCAGGGCAATGAAACCCATCCAGGGCAGATAGGGCACCTCTCGCCCCAAGCAGCAGGGATGCCTTTTGGCACTAAGGGCTTATTTGCCCTTGGTATGTATAAAACATGCATGTAAGTGTGTGTTCATACATATTGTGTGCATATTTGTGTGTATGTACATGTCTGTGTCTATCTCTGCATGGGTGTGCCTCAGGATGAGAGGACACGGTCTCAAACCTGCACCAGGGGAGGTTCAGGTTGGAGATTAGGAGGAATTTCTTCTCTGGAAGGGTACATTCCAGACATTGGTATGGGCTGCCCAGAGAGGTGATGGAGTCACCTTTCCGTTTAAGGACAGACTGCACTTGGCTCTCAGTGCCGTGTTCTTGTTGACAAGGTGGGGTTGGGTCCCAGGTTGGACTTGATGGTCATTTCCGGCCCCATTGATTCTGTGATCTGTCCGAATATACCCACTTCCCGTGCAACGCAGCCAAGCCCCCGCAGGGACACCCCCGAAGCGCAGGAGACCCCGCCGTGTCCCCCCCTATTTCCCCACCAGCCCCGCCGGGGTCTCGAACCCGCGGCCCCCGGAGCGGCCGCGCGGCGCGCTGCCCTCCCGGCCGGCAGGGGGCGCCGCCGAGTCCTCCGCGCCGCCAGGGGCGGTGCTGCCCCGCCCGGCCCATGGCGGCCGCTCCGCCCGCCCGGCCCCGCGGGCAGTTGCCATAGCGCCGCCGCCGCCGAGCGCGGGCACCGGCACCGGGAGCGGGATTCGGATTGGGATCGGGATTGGAACCAGGACCGCCTGCCCCAGGCCCCTCGCCCCGCCCCACCGCCCGCTCGGGACGCGGCTCTGCGGGAGGCAGGTGAGGCGGTTGGGGCGCTGCCGGTGTTTGGGGGCTGCGGGGCTTGGGGGTGGGAGATGTGAGGCGCTGAGGGGGTGGGAGATGTGAGGCGCTGAGGGGCTGCAGGTTTGTGTGTGTGTGTGTGTGTGTGTGTGTGTGTGTGAGGCTTTGAGAGCGCTGCCATGATTTGGGGGTTGGGGAGGCTTGCCAAGGTTTGGGGGTGTGGGGCTTTAGTGGGGCTGCGTGTGCGTAGGTGTGTGAGGTTTTGGGGGAGCTACCAGGTTTGGGGGTGTGGGGCACTGGAGGATTGTCAGGGTTTTGGGGGCTGCCAAGAGGCAGTGGAGTTGCCCCTGGGGGTTATCCAGGGACTGTGGGGTGAGGAAAAGCCTCTGGACTGGGGTGTTGGCAAGTGTGGGGGGACATGGGGCAGGAGGGTCTGCCAGGAATTGGGGGGGGGGAATGAGGATGCTCAGGCCTGGACAGGCACCGGGGCAGGGAGAGGCTGTAGCACGTGGGTTTTAGTTTTGGGGAGATGGGGTAAAGGGGCTCCCTCACAGGGAGTGCTTAAAGGGTTTCCCTAATGAGGGCGAGTGGGACTCTGGTGCAGCCTCTTTTGTTTAAAAAGTGGCATTGAGCAAGTCATCCCTTTTCCGAGTTGTGCTCCCAAGGACACTCTGGGGTTTGGTAGGTTGTTCTGCTCGAATTGCTGTGAGAGCTGAGGAATTCTGGTTAAGCACCAGCCTTCTGTAGAGCTCTTAGTTGAAATGGTTATCTCTTTGCATCTTAGCACGTCTAAAGTGTAATTTGGTGTCAAGGACCCAAGTTATTTTCTTCTCTGCCCCCTTTTTGCTCAAACTTGAAGGGGGGGGTACAGCAAAGTGCAAGTTGAGCAAGCCCTTCCTTTGCCACAGAGAGCAAAAGGAGTTCAGAAAATAAAAGTACTCGAGTGTCCTTCAGAGCAGTTTGTTCCTGTAAGCAGGTCAAGGTGTTTCCTGTGGGGAAAGTATTGACTCATCGTCCCATCGGTTCCTTAGCGGTGTTTCAGGTGAGTGCAGGTTAATAAAGGCCAGCTCTGCAGTGAGAACACGCAACACGGTCCTGTCCGAGCCTCCTCACACCAGGGACTTGACAAAAAGGCTGAGGATGGACTGTGTGATAAATAACCAGTTGCACTCCAGAGTTTCACCTGTTTTCAGACACTGCAAGGACGGCCAGGTACTGTAGAGCCAAGTATAACATTAAAGGCAGATAGGAGAGGGTTAGTTTTATGGCTCTTTGGTTAAGCTGTGCCCAGGGTAATGTTTAATTGGGTGAGGCAGAAAGGGTTTATTTCTGTTTCATTTGAGCTCACTTCCTGTTCCCTGACACACAGCGAGTCTTCCGTGGGGAGCACAGGACGTGGTCTTGGGTTTGGAGAACTGTTTCACAGCAGGGGAGAGACTTGGGGCAGTTTTCTGTTGTTTCTAACCTGGTTATGGAATTGTGAAAGCTCTTAATGGATCTACAGAAAAGCTTTTCTAGCTCTCCATGTCATCAGGATGGGGAATGACAGGTGCATTACAAGTTGGCATTTCATTGTGTTCAAACTGTAGTGGGTTGCATTTCAAAGCTCTGAAGCTCACATTTTAAGAGAAATGCTCATTTAAGCATACACATGATTATATAACCAAAGAGTTTTAACCCTTTGTCTTTCCACTGTGAGCTCATTTTTCCAGAGCTGAGAAGTGGAGCAGGAAGCTGTGAGCTTTAAGTTTTTCTTACAAATCCCAGATCCTTGGGTTTCCCTACCTCCTCTCATCCAGTACTGAATCTCCTTAACACGTGTATGTCCACAGTGATGGGGAGGGGGATCTTGTAGTCATTCTTTGTAATCAGAATTGATTTTGGCTGGCACACTTGGGTTTAATGAAACCAAACCATCACCTTGGGCTGTTGTGTTTCCCATTCTGGGCAGTTCTCTCTGGTGCTGGGAGTCCTGGAGCAGAGTTACCTGCCTCCACCTGTGTCTGCAGATCCACTCAGCTGTAGCAACTGAACTCTTAATGAAAAGCTGATTGCCTTGACAGTGGTGTTAATGGGTTAGTTCTTAATTGCTCAAGTTTTTGCTGGATTGGATTAGTTTTAAAGCCATCATTTAAGTACTGTGTTTAATTGTAGGATAGGAAATGTAGGCTGCCTCTCAGTGAGGCTCAGTCTTTCTCCTTGGCAGGTACATGTGATTGGGCCCCTAAAATGAGACCTGAATGCAATACTCTGCAAGGAGAGTAGAAAGGAATAGTAGAGATGATTTTTTTTGTGGTGTTGGTGCTCACTAGTTGAGTTTATGACTGAAATCTGCTTTCCTTTCTTCAGGTCTTCAGTTTTCTCTTTATTGTGGTTGACTTCAGTGTGGGTTTGTGTTGTTTTGTTTGCTTGTTTGTTTGTTGAATCGTGCAATTTTCGCTTGCTGTTGTGCAACTTTGTACCGTGGTTTGTTGTTAATAACAACTGAGATTGTCAGCTCTTCAGTCAGGCTGGGGCATGATTTGAGCTGACCTCCTAGTTCTGCCTATGAAGGGTCATTAAACATGTGCTTTGGACTTTGAGCCAGTTTTTGCCTGGTGGAAGGGAGAAAGCAGATTTCCAGGGTCTGCTCTGGTGTTCCTGTATCTGTACCTGGCTCTGGCTCGTTGAGAGTGCAGTGGAGCTTGGCAGGCTGTGTCTGACCCAGGTCTGCAGCTTTGTGTGCTCAAGTCTAGCCAGGTAAAATGCTCTCCTCACCTGGGGTGTGTTGGCTTCATGTGATACATGCAGGAAAAATTGTATTTAATTAGGGTTAGGCTGCTTTCCTGTCCCTGAGGGAAAGAATGTGTTTTCACACTCTAGCTTACACAAATGTAAGCCATAGAATCTCTGAATGGATTGGGCTGGAAGGGGCCTTAAAGATCACCCAGTTCTAATTAAAGATCACCCACCTCCAACTCTTCTCTAAACCCCATGACCAGTCCTGAGGGATGCAGAGCCTGATCCAAAGATAAGAAAATCAGCAAGTACCTTGAACTAAGTACTTGGTGCTTAATAAACACGTTGCAGGCAGGAGGATAATGTGAGATGCAGATAAGTGTGGGTTCACGTCCCTTTTTTGGACACAAATGTGTGTGACCTGCTGCTGAGCAGGGAAAAGAGGACCTGTGGGTGCCTGATAGTCAAACTGAGGGAACTCAGTCCTGCCCTCTGGTCTGAGCTCTGCCTACAAGCCCAGCCTGGCTTTAAGTTACCTG